TATATATATCACAATTACCCCCTTGGAGTAATTGTGATACAGACTAAGTGGTTAACAAAATGATATTTAGCTTTTGACAATGATTAATGACAAGAGGATTATGATACTCCGGTGTAATCTTTGTAAATGTTAAGACTGGTGCAGCTTTCTACAGATTTTTTTCTTACCGTGGAAAATATTTGCTCAATTCCTGTCAACCAGAAATTTTTAAAGGCCATCAAAAATTTAAACTGCACAACTCTCACAAGGACAAAACTGTCAGATTTACATAAGAGAATTCTTAACTGGTTTAAAATGAATGGAGGAAAATAGTTCATTATCTCTGATATACTTTTCCTGATTGGCACGTCCCTGTGAGGATATTGGTAAGTATGCCTGGATCGTTTTTTTTTTAATTTGAAAACAAAACCACAGCAAAGTATTCTCCTCCACTTAGAAGGATCCCTCTGGGATTTTGGTACTTTATTGATATGATTAACATAGAACATTTTTTGGTTTGTTTTTGATAAAGAACTATTTTCATAAATTAATTTAGGGGTCATTTTTTCGATCTCAAGACCAAGAAGACTCTTGGCCCTGCTGAGGATTTCCAAATTTGCTCTTTAAGTAGTTTTTCACACTGAGCTGAGCCTTTCCATCCAGGAAAGGGATTTTCTTCATCAACAATTTTTATTTTACTTTGTTTCTCCCCAATGCCTAGTCTTTTCATTCTGCCTATGAATATCCAAAAGGATTTCTGTTTTAAAGAAAAGACATTTCCACATTGTGGGCATTTTTATTCAACAAATAACAAGCATGCTAATCTTTGCCTTAAAGGGAAGGGACCTTGTTGTCAGGGTTTCCATCTTGACAGAGCCCAATCCTAGAGCCTACCTTACACCATCAGGTAACCACTGGGAGACCATTTTTGTTGGCTACCTGCCATCTACCTTACCTTTTTTTATCCCTACTTCCTAATCACAATTCTACTTTTAAGAACCCAACCAAAATGCTGTCCTTTCCATGAATATCCCTCTCAGGGGTAGTCGCTGTGGAGAAAAATCGCTAGGTAATGGCAGTGGTCATGGCGGTAGTACCACTTTAATAAGGGTGGCAGCAGAGGCCTCCCTTGGAAGGAAGTGAGGAGGCCCAGTGTGCGGATGTCGGGGCAGAGCGTTGCAGGCTGGGGGAATGGTAAGTGCAAAGGCCTTAGGGTAGAGGCTGCTGTTCAGAGACAGCAGGGAGGCCAGTGTAGATGGCACAGTAGGTGGGGGAGAAAACAGAAAGGATGTGACAGGAAGGGACACACAGTGAGGGCCTATGAACCACAGAAAGGACTTCAGATTTCAGTTTCAGGTGGGAAGCATTTGGAGGGCTGTGAGCAGAGTGATGACCCGATTTGTGACTTAGGTTTTACCAAAATCACTCGGAATTTGAGAAAAGGCCATTGGCACAATGACCAATGCAAGGAGACACGGTGCGAAGCTAATACCATCAACCATGAGAACTCTGATGGTGGCTAGGATGGTAGTAGATTGGTGGACGTGGTGAGAGGAGGTCAGATTCTGGACAGATTTTGAAGGTAGAGACAAGATGACTTGTTGTTTGATAAGCTGTTGGAGAAAAGAGGAATTAGGATGATTTAAAACTTTCGTGTGAGGAAGTAGAAATCTTTGGGAAGAGAGGGTTTGTGAGGAAGATCAAGAAAACAGTTTTGGACAGGGGAGTTGGAGATGCTTCGAGATACACAGTTGGAGGGGTGGAGGAGGCACACACAGTCTGGAGTTCCGAGAAGAGGTCAGGGCTGTAGATGTAAATGTGGGTCATCGGAAGATGATGACACAAGCTTCCTTTAGGAGGCAGAGAACTCACAAGCCTGGGACAGCAAAAAAAAAAACAGAAACGCTGCTCCCTGTCATTGCCGCTGTGAGAGGTGAGACAGGACCAGGGTGCTGTGCTGGAGAGAGTTTTCTAGAGCAAATAAGAGAACAACTCAGGGCCTTCGGATGTTGCAGCTCCTTAGCCTGAGACTAGGAAGCCATCGCCGCTGCGAGAAGCTCGTCATGCAGGCAACTGAGTGAGCTCCAGGGCCGTGCTGCCCGGGGTGTCTCTCCTGTGGCAGGCACTGGCTGGGGGCTGAGAATGCTCTAGTGGACAGGACAGGTAGCGCCTGCCCTCAGGGAGCTGAAATCTAGCAGGATCAACAGATGCATGACAAACGTTGCATTATATTTTGGGGAGTATTTCAAAGGAAAAGTCTTGGGTAGGGGTTAGGAGAGACTCCCCTGAGGAAGGAACATTCAAGGGGAGACAGAGTAGGAGTTAGGTGAGGGGCTGAGGGAAGAGCATGTTTTGAGGATCAGAGAGGCCAGTGTGGTGGCTAAGGAGGAGCTGCAAACCTAGATGTCTTGTGCAGCCCAGCAGGACACACATAAGACAGCGGATGTTATTCAATAACAAGTGACAGGCATTTTGAGAAGTGCACAGTGTGGGCCAGGGTGTACCTACAGGCACTCGAGTTATATAATTTTAAACTCTGCATCCAAATAAACTACACTTCAGCTGACCATTAGTTGAGGGCTGGCAGGGGGAGAGGGAGTCTATATAGAGGAGAGAGTGGCCCAGAACTTCCATCTGTGCGTTCTGCTATGCATCCTTGACAACACCTAGACAGAATCTTACTTGGCTAAGAAGGATGAAGGGCAAATACTCAGGCCCCTGAAACTAGAGTTCTTGCCTAAACTCTCCTGAACAGCTGGTCGGTTTCTTTGGGGCAGGACTGTCACATGTATACTTCTTATACTACAGAGCCCCCTGTCCTGGATCAGACGCCTAATTGTTTGTTTATTGACTTCTCAGTATTGTACAAAGAGGATTAATTACCCAG